TTCATTAGAACAAAATCCTGTTCATCATGAACGATGTATTTTGGCATGCTTAAACGCCCGAGTCCAGGGTGGAAGAAAAAAGAAGGAAAACGAAAGCTTGTAACTGTTGGAGTGTCGTTTTTCCTCATACCTTCATGACTAGATCATTTCAGGCACCATTCTCTTTATGAAGTTAACTGTGGGGCGTCGATGTCCATTTCATGATATCAGCCATGAGTGCCATAATTCAAAGGTAGAGTCGACACTAGCTGTATGACCAACTTAGTGAGTAGTCATATTTCGTTTCAACAAAGTGTCCTGGCCGAAGCTCGAAGCCGAGACTTCCCAGTTCTGAAATCGATGCTCTAACGGCTGAACAATGCCAGTGATGGAGCAACTGAGTGATGAAATAGCCGTAAAATCAAGTTTCTAATGAGTTACGCACTCAATAACACACTGCGGCTACGAAGCAACAGTTTGTTTCATTATGCGACGGCATATATAGAATATCGGCTCCTGAAGGATCGTTTCTGAGCAAGCGATTGTTCTAGCGAACGGAGTGCAGCTAGATGCATCTAGTACTACAGGCGTTCACACATCAAGGAGCGCCAGTTTGCTTAAACGCGTCTACTCCCTCAGGCTACTAAAAACAACGGATGCAATGGGTCGTAAAACTGAGTTTAAATGAGTTAATCGTTTGGCAATTATTTAACTTTTTCAATTATGTCAATGAGTTAAGTCATGAATTCAGCGTCTGTTCACACATTGCAGTGTAGGAACACATACTGTAGAACGCGAGAAGAAAAATATATGACGACAGAGTTACGGCTAACTTAACGTCTGGTGTTTAGGAAACAACAAAGACACCAAATCCTGACGCTCTGAGCTTACGGCAAGAGATGATTCTTCGAGGATGAAGCGGCTTTCCGTCAAACATCCTAGGTTTTTCATACCCCTACGATCGAAAAGTCTGCTTACGTATCAGCGATGAGAGGCAAATGCGGCACTCTTCAAAAAATGTTATGTTGCTACTGCTGTTATAAACACAAACGATGAGTACTAAGCTGACCTGACGGATTTGTTTCAGACGCGATCACGGACATAACAGTCGAAGTGTGCAAGCATGTATGTTTAAACATCGTCATAATCTCCACACAAAAAGAAGTACCACGCTGATTGTGCTATTGCTAAAAATAGTTGGTAATTCATGACCCATTGTTAAGGACCCTTCTGCAAGGTCATTATTTTTAATTAAGATCAGTGACCTGAAAAATGCCAACCCCAATGTTCCCTCTTCAAGTTTATGAAGAAGAAACAGTAGCGTGAAATGTCGATCTTCCCCATCGGTTATGCGCTATCACTGCCGTTGTCTGATTTTTTGCTGCCCTCGATTACCAACGATTTCAACGTACTGTTGGCTAACTTTGACGGTTTTTCCACGGTAACGCAGAATCATAGAATAAGGTTACTATGTAACATGGATCACTTATCCTAGT